GCGGGTGTGGTAATCCTGGTGCTATTTTTGTGTCTTCGAACAACAAAGTTCATATCCCACCCAAGTATTACGTCTCTGGTTTTTTTTTTTTTTTTTTTTTGGTCTCCTGGCATTTTAATCAGAGAAAAGTCACAGTTGTTTTGAGGAAAGCACTCCCAAGAGCTTTAATTAAAGCTGGAAGGATAAATCTGTTTACAGCGTGGTGAACACTATCATTAATAAAACATTGAAATAATTAACGAATTAAATTCTGCTTTGCGTGTCAATGGCTACGTTCAGGATCTTTGAGAACGTCTCCCCAGAAGACGCAGTACACTGTGTACTTAGTTTGCAAAAATGAAAAGGAAAAACTGAAACTGCATTTCTCTGAGACTCATAGATCATAGACTGAGAGAGCCTGAATGGAGTGAAGGCTACATTATCTTTATTTTATGGGAAAAGAAACTCAGTTTCAATGAGCTTAATGGCCTGGGTTCTAAGGATGTGCTTGAAAAGGAAGACTTTTGATCGCACCACTGATACACAGTCTGTATTTTGCATCCTGGAATGATTAACCAGAAACAAAGGAAGGAAAAAGGTGAAATTAATAATAAGATCGGCAGCTCTGGGACACAGAATACAGAATGGAATAATCTGGAAAAAAAGGCAGGGCAGGCAAATTTCATAGTGTGATTAACTCTGCCATTGACAATGAGGGAATTTTAGCAGCTCAGGATATGAAGTGGTTTTTTCAGCAGGATATGGCTGTGTGCAAACCTTCACACTGGGACTTCCTTCACGCTCCTTCTCACTAACAGGCTCCTTGACTTGTTTTTAAGCTTTCTGGCAGACAACAGATCTCACAGGAAGCTCCAATGTGGACGTTCATATCGACAGTTAATGATGCATTGTTTTTTTTTTCTTAATGCCACTCAGTAATTTCCTAGGGAAAACAATGGGAACCAAAGCTTGTTCCTGTCTTGATGGAAAGTCAGCTTCCAATATTGCCTTATTAATTTAACACATGAAAGTATTTGTATACTTGTTGTTGCTACAGCAACTTGTTTTGTGGGGGCATATTTCATGCAAAATGTGAAAAATCTGAAAAAGAAAACAAACATTATCTGCATATTTATGTGCATATAAATAGAAATGTATGTGTGCTAAGGTTCTTGTGATTAGAGGTATGTGCCTCTTGCCCTCAGTCTAAATTATGCTGTACTTGTTGGTTAATTTACAAAACATCTATCTAATGAAAACAACAAGCCAACCACTTCCAAGGAGTTTCAGAAAAGCTGGAAACACATGAAATTATTCATAATTAGGTGATCGGTGGATGATAACAGCACCCACCCTGTACACAGACACAACGAGCATGTAAATGAGCCTGCTGAGCTCAGAAGGGGAAAAACGGTAATTTTACCTCAAGGTGAACCTGAAGCTAAGCTTTTGTGACTTTCACCTTTCAGAGAGATGGAGCAGCAAAGTCCCTGCATGCTAGGCTTAGAAACAGGAGGCACCCAACCCATCTCAACGTGATTCGGCAGGGAGGTGATGGACATTTCATGAAATACACTTGAAAGTATATGAATGGGAATAAATGGTAAAAATCCTGCATACTGTAATATAAACAAGTGGGTGTTAGAGTCTGATAGACCTTGTTTCCAAGCCCATCACTAGGTCACCAGGTCACTAACTGTGACCTTGAGTGTTTACCCATTTCTCTGAACTTCAGCATCCTCGTTTTTATAATGGGGATGATTATACCTCCTTCCCAGGATTGCAGTGAGGATCAGATAAAAAATATGTCAAGTACTTAGCATAGATCTGGCCACATTCTGTGCACTCGATAAAGGATCAATGTCCTATGAGTAGGACAATTGTCATTTAAGCTCTCCTCCCTCTAGCCAGATGGGGCCATGGCTTCCTGTTGCCCCTCAGAAGTTAAGTGTGGCTCTGTGATGTGCTTTGGCAGTGAAGGTGGGTGGAAGTGATCCAGCAGGGAGACCTGAGAACCATCACGATGAGCTGTGATCTTTCTCCCTCTGTGATATGGTCAGGCTTTGTGTCCCCACCCAAATCTCATCTTGATTTGTAATCCCCGGCATTGAGGGAGGGACCTGGTGGGAGGTGATTTGATCATGGGGGCGGTTTTCCCCATGCTCTTCTCATGATAGTGGGTGAGTTCTCACAAGATCTGATGGTTTTATAAGTGTTTGGAAGTTCCTCCTTCCCTTGCCTTTCTCACCTGCCACCATGTAAAGCATGCCTGCTTCCCCTTCTGCTATGATTTTAAGTTTCCTGCTTCCCCTTCTGCCATGATTCTAAGTTTCCTCCCCAGCCATGCAGAACTGAATTAATTAAACCTCTTTCCTTTATAAATTAACCCAGTCTTGGGTAGTTCTTTATAGTGGTGTGAGAACAGACTAATACACTCTGCCTTGGGGCAGGCAACATTTCAGAGGACACTGTTCCCCAGGTCTGGGTCCTGGTGTGAGAAGATATGGAGCAGACCCCAGCTGGCCCAGCCATAGAACATGGCATGAGCAAGAAGAAAACCCTCTAGTTTTGGGAGTTTGAGGTACCTTGCTTCTCCTGATCATGTTTTCTCCTTGGCAAAAAGAGATGGATGATTTGAGATTTTTTTTTCTTCTGGGGCAATCTCAGATTGTGTGTAACTCCAAAGAATGATGTAAATCTGTTCTGTTGACAAATGCTTTGTGAGAGGCCATGTAGTCTCAGTGTTTTCACTGACAAGAGAATTGCCTTGCACAGAAGAATTGCTACAGTTGCAGTTTCAGAGCTCCTGGAAGACCACCATTTCTACCTTAATGAGAGCTTCCTACCAAGAATGGGACTACCTTACTGATACAGGAGTGCTGGGAAGGGAGGAGCATGGTCCCTTTAAATGATAGGGAAGGGCAAGGGAAGTGCAGGGTAGAGAAAGGAGAGTCCTTGGCTAGCGCTCCACCCCCACGGACCAAAGTGAGGACAGGTACTCCCACTTTCCCTCCCAAATGCTGCATTTTCCAAGACCACCCGGGCCCACCACGCCCCCATCCTGGGCCTTTAATAATCCGAGACCCTAGCGGGCAGATACACAAGCGGCTGGACATCGTGAGGAACACAATGGGGGAAGAAGGCACAAGTGGCTGGTGGTCGAGAGCCCACCTGTGGAAGAGCACACCAACAGGCACCGGCGGAACGACGTGGAGTTTGCGCGGAGCTGTTGAAGAAGAGTCCAGGAGAAAACCATCTCCCTTCCGGCCCCCCCAACAATAAAACCTTGCACTCATTATCCAAGATCACGTGTGATCCGAATCTTCCTGTACACCAAGGCAAGAAACCCTGGGATACAGAAATCCCTCTGTCTTTGTGATAAGGAAGGGGGTCTAATTGAGCTGGTGAACACAAGCCGCCTATAGACGGCAAACCAGAAGAGCACCTGTAACACGCGCCCACTGGGGCTGCGGCTTGTAAACATTCAGCCTTAGACACTGCCGTGGGGTCGAAGCCCCACAGCCTGCCCATCTATATGCTCCCCTAGAGGTTTCAGCAGAGGAGCACTGAAGAAGCGAGCCACACCCCTATCGCACGTCTTGTGAGGGAGACAAGGAGACCTTTCCTGTTTCATTATCATACAAACATGCTTAGTGCTGCAAAATGTAAGCCTCCCTGGAGAGGCACATCTGTCAATCATACTGAACTGCTTGTTGGTTTGGGGATGTGGGAAAACAAGTTACCAAGAGCTATTTTGACACAGGCAAATTCATTTCGTTTCTGACTTAATCTAGAGATGGATTCAGCAATCCCAAGGTAGACGTCTCATCTTTTCTCACCCTCGACATGTTTCTCAGTGTTGGAGGTTAGCGTGAGTTCAGTCTCCTGTAATAGGCCATTTCACTTTAAGTATATGTTAAACTAATATTGACCTTTCCAAAGTAAAACAAAATCTGGTATTTGTGCTTAAAAGACTGAAGCAGCAATAGATGTGGAAGGTAGAGGATTAATCATCTTGTGTGTGTGTGTTTTTTTTTTTCCTGCCTTGGAAACTCTCTCTGGGAATTAGTCATTTTATATCTAGCAATAAACGTAAGACAGGCTCCGACTATTCTCCTGAAAAGGAAGCCTGGATCCTTCAGCAAATAATCTTTTGTATAATTTGCCCACAGTTTAACCCACAGATCCAGCTATGGATGTTTCATTTAACAGTGAGTGAAAAACTTAGGACTATCAGCATCAGGCCTTTGGGTGGGAATACCCAGATATCAAGGTTGGGCAAGTGGGCATTAGGAGTGGTGCCAGGGATGAGAGGGGGTAGACGGCTGGGTAGATGGCTGGAAAAAGGGGTCAGTGGTGGGGATGTGGGGCAGACAAGGTATCTGTGGGGATACGTAAGTGACGGCGGGAAGGGAATGTCAGAACAAAGCGAGGAAAGTAGAGGCAGCATCACTAATGAGGACACAGGTATGTACATTTCATGCCTAAACATAGATATCTCATCAACGGAGAGTGCCTTCAACCGAACCCCTTCTTGGATGTGTGCTATATAGACCTACGTGGAAAAACACACTCCAACCTTTCCTTCCCTTCTCCTACCCTGAACAAACAGAAATCTATACTTGGAAACAATTATTTCATACACGTCTATAAACAGGATTCATATATTTCATCCAGGAAATAAAAACATGTCAAAATAGGAAGCCCATTAACAGACAGTGTGTAGTTGGGAAAAATCAGATCTTGGAGCTGTTATCAAAGTGAGACACCTGTACTCACATTCTCGGAAGAGTAGTATGTAAGTATCTGAGAAGATAAATGGGTTTTCAGGGATGTCATCTGGGCCTGCTTTTCTCTGATCGTGTAGTGATGCGCTCATTTTGCAGTGATTTATACCTGATGGCCATTAGCCTATCTTTTCATTGAAGGCCATTTGGCACAGTACCACTTTCTTTCAACAACCTCTCTAGACAGTCAAAAACTTATTCAATCCTAGATAGGCTTGATCTTATGCTGCATACCTGTATCCACTCTCGGTAGGAATCTTCTCCGGGAGTCCACCCATTCTCAGGATAGTTCAGGCGGGAGCGCTCTGCAGACCAGTTGGTGCTATACTGGGAAGAAGCTGTGATCTGGTCAGAATGAATTTCTCCTGATTCCATGCCCACAGCTTCCATACATTTGAAATCTGAAGGGAAAAACAGGGCCCAAAGTCATCAAAACATAGGGGATTTAATGAAATTTAAAAAAGAAAAAGATGCATTTTTCTTTTTTAACTTGACAAACCAAAGAGTTCATTCATTCAAAATTCTTTAAAAAGATGGTAGTAAGGGACTTACTGGAATATAGCACTGATACTTGGATTTTCATGGCAATATTTAAAAATAAGGTTATCAAGATCATACAATGATTAATAATTTTGCCAAGTGGACTTAGGTTGACAAAAAGACTGTTTGAAATGTACCAGGAAATGATGAAAATTCTGATTTATGTTCACAGTTGAGTGTGTGTGTTTATAACTATCTATGGCTCTACCTGTCATATGTGTAGACACAAAAAGTTGTATTTAAAATAAAATTTTTGTATTAAATTATTTCTTTTAATATCAAAGAGAACTGAAAAAAGACTTTATGTCTAGTTACAATTCATACTCAGAGGATGGTAGATCTAACTTCCTGTCTTTCAGATTCTACTATTGGCACCCAGGCCACCTCTTCCTGACTTCCTTTGTTCTTATGCCCCGCCTCTGGCCTGATCATGACTATTAACATAATTAGCTTATTAAAACACACAATTATGCATTGGGGGTAAACTGCACTGTCACATGGCCCCAAAGCACCACAGTTTTAGAGCACAAAATCAAAATGCTCACAACAGTGACCATGAAACATCAAAATCTATATTCTCTGAGGCCTAACATCCTCAGTTTGATGATACTGGGAAAATGAGCGTTCAGTTTTAGGAAAATGTTAATCCAAAGTACACGAGTGAAAAAAGCTTTAGAGATTAAAGGGAAGATCCTCAACCATCCAGAAAATCTCAGCTAATGAAAATTCCCCATTTTCTGAATTTTCTATCAATAACAGATAAGGTTTTAGGGCATACAAGATTTCCTCGCAATGGTTTCATATTTTTAAGCTTACCTTTGTTATTTGTAATATAACAATTATTTACAGGCACAAAAATACATAAATCAATTAATCCAATAAATAAAATACAAATAAGGTTTTGAAATTTCACTGGCCTCTTTATTTTCCAGTGAGATCTGCTGTAGAAGATATGAGCATATCTGTAGGATACCTCTCCAAACACCCCTTGTCCTCTCCCTATGTTACTTTACAGCCTGGGAGCTAGAGCTGATAATTGCACAAACAATTTATTCTTTGTTCTTTTTTGTTGTTGTTCTTGAGACTGGGCCTCACTCTGTCAACCAGGCTGGAGTGCAGTGGCATGATTATAGCTCACTGCAGTCTTAAACTTTGGGGCTCAAGCAATCTTCCCACAGTCTCCCAAGTAGCTGGGACTACAGACATGCTCCACTATGCCCAGCTAACTTTTCAATTTTTAGTACAGTCAAGTTTGCATTATATTGCCAAAGCTGATCTCTAACTCCTGGCCTCAAGCAATCCTCCTGCCTCGCCCTCCCAAAGCACTGGGATTACAGGAATGAGCCACAAGTCCTGGCCTTATTCTTTGTTCTTTCAGATTTTTTCTTGGGCCTTTAAAAGACCTAGAGACCACAAAAACTTTGAGGAAGGGTTGAGCTAGCTGAGTTGAGTATTTTAATAGAATACAAAAAACATAATGGCTTCCTCCAGCATCTTCCACAGCCAAACCACTGCATTATCCACACTTTGTGACTGCTCTGTCGGTGAACTACCACAGATTTGTTTTATCGTCTGGGATAGATGCCTGTCCTCTTATGATACTCAGCCTTGTATGCATTGGAGGGTGCCAGGTAGATGCTCTAGTCACATTTCATTGTTTCAAGGCACTATTTTGCCATTTCCCACTTTCTCCCATAATTTCAGAGGCTCCCAAGCAGGCTTCTCACCCACAATTTTATGAAGAAAGCACAGCAAATAGTTCTTCCTATTGATATTAAAAAAGAAAAAAAAAACATTTAAAAGAGAAAAACAGATACTTGGCACCCCCGTTCACAACACATTACTTTAGTGCTTCATGTGGCCGCAGGTGTGTGAGCAGGAATAACATTGAGTATTTACCACAGGGCTTTGCAAAATGAATAAACACTGACCTTCTGAGACACTGCTCTGCAAGACACTGTAGTTTGCTGAGAAACCTTCTTTTGCTATTGCGCTGTCGGTATAAAAAACCATGGAGAGAATGCCCGATGAGGATCGGATTCGACCTGGTGTTTTCTGTCCACAGTAACGCCCAATGTGAGGGCCAACTGGAAAGGGAGGAATACAGACAATGTCAGAATGTCTTTTCTCCTGCAGCAGATGCAAGAATCACCATTTACAAACATGGGTCCCAGTAGAACCCAGAAGTGTTTTCTAACCCAAAGCAAGGCTTCCCTAAGTTAATTGGTTTGCAGTGAACATACTGGATTGGGTTTGTGGAGAAGATTTTAAAGTGTACTCAGAAGGGCAGTAACAGGCATAACCGCATTCCCCAGTGAGCAGAACTGTTTTCAGGAACAGAATCAAAATGCTTGCTTCAATTGCAAAGAATGAGATTTAGGCTATTGAAGTGGCACCTTGGTACCCATTGGCAGGGCAAAACTGTATACACAGCCCAGCGCCAACAGATTCCTGCTAAGCTGTGGTCACTGAGGTTTCTGAGTTACCTGTCTTCGCCTCTCTTGCCCTAGGGGAGATTCTGGGGATGCTGATGTCCAGGGAACCTTCTGGTCTGATCCGTCCCAGGGGTCTGATCCACAATTGACCTGTGATTGGCTTCCTCATGCTATCTTTTTGCCCTGGATTCTTATTATGATAAACATCACAAGCTTGGACAAAGGACAATGGATTATGTCCTACTCAGGGCTTTATGTGAAGACAAATCATTGTAACCATGTAAAAAGTTGGAGACTACATATACCAATAATTTATAAGTAATGGCAACCTATAATCTAAATGAAATAAAAATGCATCTGTCTGACTTCTGTCCTAGTTTTTTCTCTCCTAACTGAGAGGTGACTTGTTTCCAGGGGCCAAGAAATCACCAAAAGCATCCATTTGATTGTGCACACCAGGAAATAAAGGGGACTTGAGGAGGTGAATGATTGGGAACACCCACTAATTTATGTTAAAGTTAAATTGTTTGATGGCCGGGTGCAGTGGCCCACTCCTGTGATCCCAGCACTTTGGGAAGCTGAGGTGGGCAGATCACTTGAGGTCAGGAGTTCGAGACCAGCCTGGCCAACATGGTGAAACCTCGTTTCTACTAAAACTACAAAGATTAGCCAGGTGTGGTGGGCAATGCCTGTAATTCCAGCTACTGGGGAGTCTGAGGCAAGACCCAGGGGGTGGAAGTCGCAGTGAGCCAGGATTGCACCACTGCACTCCAGTCTGGATGACAGAGTGAGACTCTGTCTCAAAAAACCACAAAAATCAATACAGCAATTTGCTGTTTGACTTAAACTGGCCATACCTTTGTTGAAGTGCTTTAAGCAAACCCTGGCAATGAGTAAACTGGAAATTGCCTTGGGAAGTATGTAGAACTCCTCTGGATGGCGAATCTTTCCACTTCCCTATCCTGATCATCGACAAGCCACATACAAAAAAGTCCTTTTTTTCCTCTAGGTTTTTTCATTGCACATATGGTAAAAACATACCAGATGGTTTGGGTTTAGAAGGACAATATGGTGTGGACTGTTTTCCCCTCCAAGAAATCCATGGTTCTGTGCGTTTCAACTAAGAATCATTGCTTTGTTTAAAGAAGCACATTAGGTGGACATGTCCCTGGAGGGAGGGGCCTTCAACAGGGATGTGGTGTTTCAAGGCCAGTGTGTGCAGTATGGATGCAGGACGCGGCGGATGAAGGCCAGGAGAGACTTCAGATGTGATTGCCAAAGTGAACCTCACAAGAACTGGTCTCCCTGAAGCCCCAAGTACCAGCTGCGTTCCTAGTCGGCAGCAAATCCGAGCCCCGTTTTGTGGATTGCACAGATCCTCGGCTGACAGGTTTTCAGCTCTTGGCCAGTTCTCTTTAAAAAAAAAAAAAAAAAAACCAAACCCAAACAAAATAAAATAACTAAACCAAAATGGTTCACCTATTTGAGTTAACGCAAAAATGGGCTGCTTTGAACAATATCTGCTAATTTCTCGATGTGTTGGAAATAATGGAGTTGAGTGAATTCAGCGTTTTCTCTCTATCGCAACCCCTCACTCTCCCTCCAGGCACCACACAGTTTGTGTGCTTAGACTGCTTTATCATGAAGAAAACGAGGAGGATGACCCAGTGGGGAGGACTGATACGGATTATCTACAGGGCATCACGCTGACACGGACAATAGCTTTGCATTATGGAAGCAAATTTTGTTATATTAGACTTCTCTGTTGGCAGAAGAAAGCACCTCAGAAGATGAAACTCTTGCTGTTTTTTGTCTCTCTTCAGCTTTAATCCTGGCTTCTGATTCTTCTACAGGTAGTGGTTTTTTGCTATTTAATAGATTTTCTTCATTCTGGATGTGGCCCTAGTAGTAATGTAACACTTTTTTTTTCTTATCTCTGGAGCACGAAGTTGTCCATAACATACACATGAAAATACCTTGCTAGAAGCATACACTTAAGTCTTTACTTTCCTAAAAAAGAATCTCATTTCTGATCTGCAATATTAAAAAGAAGGCTTAGAGTCCATTCAGACTCCCTCACTACTTTTTCCCTCATTTAAATTCCATTAGTGTGGCTTCATGATGTTTTTTCTTTAGTTTGTGGGCAAACGTTTACAGCCCTAATCCTTGGGGTCGTTCTCTGATCGCCACAGCCGCTGACCTCCCCCGGAATACAAGCTCGCAAGCAAAGCTGTGATCGCCCTGTGGAAGCCCAGGCGGCTGATCCTCCCCGCCACTATCACCCAACTCCTTTGGGGAGGGCGGAAGGGGAATCTCTTTGAAAGAGAAAACAGAAGAGAACTTGTCTGATGCAGACTTGCAATTTAGAGAGTCTCCATGACTCACTGGTTTATAATGTTTAAGACATGCTGGGTAAATCTGCCTTCTGTCCCTAGAACATTGCCCCCGGACAACAGCGTGCCACTCTCTTTAGGAGCCCTCAAGATACGACAGTGAAAGGCTTTTTCGACTATAATACAAAGAAGTATTGAATTTTCCTGAACAACAGCGAGACCTTAGCCTAGCAAGCTAATGCAATATTGATCTGAGCGAGAGTGGATGAAATACTCTTATCCGTCTCGTGTGTGTGCTCATTTGTGTATTTACATGAACATAGCTATTGGATTTCCTATTTCTGTTATTGTGAACCCAAGGGCCGAGGAGATGAATGAAAACGGTCACAAAAGCAGAAGTATAATTCAAAAATTGAATTATTGCAGAATTTTAGCAAGCAACGTGTGCCAAGCTTCAGGAAGAGGAGAGCTAGAATGATCGTATCTTATCAGATGTGAAAGGAATATAGTATTTGTGCTGTTTAAATATATGCCTACAATGGGCAATGGTGATCCCACATCTTTTGCATTTTCCCATTAATCTCTCCAATAATTATAACCTTATCTCAGAATCAGATGATTTGGCTTTCTGCCGCATTTTTATGTGAAAAAATAAAAGTGCTGATCTACTTCAAAGAGGTATTTTAAAATTTGTTTTTTTCTTTTTTAGAGATGGCTGTCTCACTCTGTTGCCCAGGCTGCAGTGCAGTGGCACAGTCATAGCTCACTGTAACCTAGAACTCCTGGGCTCAAGTGATCCTCCCACTTCAGTCTCCCGAGGGGCTGGGACTCCAGGCTCATGCCACTGTGTCCAGCTAATTTTTAAACTTTTTTTTGTAGAGACGGAGTCTCAGCTCTCGATGTTGCCCAGGATGGCCTTGAACTCCTGGCCTCAAGCAGTCCTACCACCTAGGCCTCCCAAAGTGATGGAATTATAGGTGTGAGCTACCACACCTGGCCTAAAGGTATCCTTTTAAAATGAAGTATTTTGAATAATAAACAAAAAAGGGATTCGTTTCAAAGGTACAAGATAGACCGTCTATACTTTTCTGAAATTAATAGACTTTTTGGTGTGGAATATCTGGAATACCAAAAATACATTTTGTAGCTTTTCCCCAGAAAAAAATTGGCATATTTATATCTCTCTCTTCTAAATTAGTCTTTAGAAGGTTAATTAAATGTAGAAGTAAATAAAAGCAAGCAGAACTCAATCTAGCTATTATGAAATGTATTCCTGAAATGATTGATAATTTTTGGAACACAGGTAACAATTGCAGTTCCAGCCCCTTTTGCCAGCTGAGGCAGAAGTCTGACGTCATCAGCACCGATGCGATGTGAGCTAAGCATTCACTTCCGGCCCCATCATCCAGCACCAACACTTCCAGCATTTACCTGGGCAATGATGCTGCGCTCTTGGCCTTAGCCCATATGTAAACTTCCACCAATTTTTTTAAAAGTTGCCATTTGTGAATCCATGCAGCTTCAAACAGAGTGGTAGACGGAGATGCGGGATTTACAACACACATGCCTTGAATTTTGAGTTCTGGAGTAAACTGCTTTTCCTCAAAGTCAATTTGAATCAATGGATAGCTTTCAATTACCTAGTCATTTAATTCAATGTTTATGATAAAATGCAACGTAAAATCACTTGATGGTTAAAAGCCTTCTGCACCTTCTGGTTGGTGTTTTTGGAAAGGATATCAAAGACTAAAAGCAATTTTGTTGGCAGAGGAACTATGTGTGTTGAACTACTATGACAAAAATGTTTCTAGTGTCACTGACCAAAAAAAAAAAAAAAAAAAAAAAATCCAGGAGAATGCAGTTTTATTTTGCCTAAAAAAGAAAACCATTATGCAGGTACAGGCTGAATAAGGCCAGGTAAATATTAACAAATATACAAATGCATTCTTCATATTCCAAAGCCAGTTCTCTCTGGGAACAAGTGAAAGGCACCATAGTTTAAAACATGCGTAAATTGCAAGGCTGATAACTCTTATTGTTAATTGTTCCTCGATTCAACTCAGTGATTTTCTAGAGCCAGAAAATTACTACTTTGAAAAACCCTTGACACTAATAACAATGTGCCTTCTTTCTGAAAGTCTTCTAAATAAGTCGGTTGATTGGACCTCCTCTTCAGATGTCAATTTAAATGAAAGTTCTAGAAAGGAAAGCTGCAAATTTGGGTTGTGAACAAATAAATCCATTGTAAAATGTTCCAACTATTGTTACAATATTATTATAATACTGTTTTCCTAATTATCAGATTGAATACTTGGAAATCAATCAGAACTCTGTTTGGGCAAATCTCATTATTTAATAAAAGAGTTTTGATAAGATTATCATAACCCTGTTTATATGGTAAAAGAGCAAAGAAGATATTAAACTAATGTTAACTCACCCGTTTATTCCAATGGCAATATAAGGATTCTCTAAACCTGGTTTTTCTCTAATGCTGTTTACTATTGAGGAACATAGCTAAATTGAATCACACTAATAATAATGTCATTTCAAAGACTAAGGCAATCTCCTTTACATTTTACTTACTCTTTTTTTAAAAACAGATTCTCGCTCTGTTCCCCAGGTTAGAGTGCAGTGGCCGTGATCTCGGCTCACTGCAACCTCTGCCTCCCAGGTTCAAGTGATTCTCCTGCCTCAGCCTCCTGAGTAGCTGAATTACAGGCATGCACCACCACGCCCGGCTAATTTTTGTATTTTTCATAGAGATGGGATTTCACTATGTTGACCAGGCTGGTCTGGAACTCATGACCTCAGGTGATCCACCCACCTTGGCATCCCAAAGTGTTGGGACTATAGGTATGAGCCACAGCACCCGGTCTACATTTTACTTTATTCTTTATGTACAATGTATTTAAATATTCTTTTGAGAATAGTATCTGACTCTGTTTTACAGATAGTTATACATCTCCTAACTCCATGATGGTGAAGCCATCCTCTCTGATCTGTGTAATGTGTGTTCTCTAGAGAAATCTTAATATTAAACCAGACTAAACACAAGACAAGCAATGCAGCTGTAAAAATTATTGGATATTATCCCTCACTGTTCAGAATTTCGCTGTGTATTTTTGCCATTCACCTTCTAATTCACAAGAGTGGAATGGAAAACTTTCATTTAGATGTCCACATGGCTATTTCCTCCACCTCCTTCAAATCTTCACTCAAATGTTGTTTTCTTTAATAAGGTCTAACCTCGGCCGGGTACGGAGGCTCACGCCTGTAATCCCAGCACTTTGGGAGGTCGAGGCGGGCGGATCATCTGAGATCAGGAGTTTGAGACCAGACTGGCCAATATGGTGAAAACCTGTCTCTACCAAAAATGCAAAAAATTAGCTGGGTGTAGTGGTGGGCACCTGTAATCCCAGCTACGCAGGAGGCTGAGGCAGGAGAATCGCTTGAACCCAGCAGGCAGAGGTTGCAGGGAGCCGAGATCGCTCCACTGCACTCCAGCCTGGGTGACAAGAGCGAAACTCTGTCTCAAAAATAAATAAATAAATAAATAAATAAATAAAAGGTCTAACCTCACCACCCTATTTAAAATTTCACCCTATACCTTCCCCCTCCTAACTTCTCATCCCTTGACTCTGCTCTACTTTTTCTTGCTTGCATTTGGGGAGATTTGTTTACAGCACTTCTCACCTTCTAACACTTCACACACATAATTCATTTATTTGTAATGTGCATTGTTTATTGTCTCATTCTCCCTGGCAGAAGAGAAACTTCAAAGGGCAGCACCTTTCATTGTTTTGCTTACACAGGGGCTAGGATGGTGCCTGGTACATGACAGATGCTCAAGAAATACTTTTTAGGTATATGAATGCATTTAGATGATAGGTCAAAGACGATAATGATGATGTAATGAGGTGATTCAAATTCCCAAAGATGAAGAATCTGTAGAGAATGTACAGGGAAACTGTCTAAATTTGGAATGCCCAAACATTCTCGTTCCTTTTCCAAATTTTTATTCTGTAGCATAATAGATGCATATCTTAGCCTTAAAATTTTATTAAGTACTCAACCTCTCAGGTCCTGAGTCTCTGCATTTCTAAAATGAGTGCTTTGATATAATGGAATTACTAAGAGCCCATCCTCTGACAATCTGTGAATTAATGATGAGTAGCCAGGTCAGTGGATGAGCAAAATACTTTAGCGAGAAAAACTATGTGTTCACCTCAATTATATCACAAAAATAGCTACAAGAACTTTTCGTGATCTTTCATGGCCTCAGCTTCCTTATCTATAAACTGAAGGAATTGGACTAGATAATTACTAAGGTCTTCTTGAGCTCAAACATTTCATCACTGCTCTGCATAAAGAGAGTTTTGCTTTGTTTTCCAGTGTCCTTCTGAGCATTTTTAAAAAAATGATGCATGTATCATGACTCTTGTAAAAGAATCCTGGTGCCCTTCCTCCAGAACCTTCCCTTTTTGAGGTGCTTCTTGTCATTCTTACCGTCAGGGAATCCATCCCAGATTTCCAGCCGGTCATAGCGACAGAACATCCCCCCTGGAGGATTTGAGTCAGGCTCCAGGTCAAAGCTTTCAAATTCCAGGATAATCTCTGACATCTTTGGTGCAAAGACAATATAAGTGCATTCAAGGCTGTTGGGATATTTTTCAGGGAATCCAGGGGACTTTATCACTCCACTAGGTGTTGTGTAGTTCTGGGAACATTCAGGACCTATGAGTAGGAGAGAAAAAAGAGTAAAGTGAAAATCCCACTTAAACAACTTCCCCCAGAAATAACCTGGGTAAAGACAGAACATCTTTCTAATAAAAGCCCACCATTATAACCACTGTTCTAATCATGCATTAGTCAGCTTTTTCCTATTAGTAAAATGGGTATGGAAAGTCAAGTTCAGATTTATTGTGTTAACCTTAGCTTTCCATTTGTATGGAGCAATTTAAAGACTTCTGCTGTTGCAGGGAAAAAAATGACAAATATAAAATCATGTGGGAACAATGAATGAGTAAGCTGCAGAAATCTCAACAGAGCCCTAGAGAAATAATTATAGCCCCTTCAAGCTTAAATCTTTAAATCTTGAGGCTGACAGCCCTTTATTGGTGAAATAGAACATTTATAATGATGAGGGAGAGAATTCAGTGGAGGCAGTTGGGGTTTCAGATTCCTACACCAGTGACTCAGTAACTCTGCCAGATGTGACCTATGCCTCTTTGACAAACGAAATGTGAAAGGTAATTCGTACATGTACCAAGGGTGAGTGACTCATTCTGAGTGGTGTTGACACAGGTGGGCCGGTAAAGTGTGGCTGTTAGTGAGGGCACGATAAACTGTGATTACAGGCCATGATGCCGGAAGTCACCTGGTATCAATGCTGACATCCTAACCTTCCCCGAAGTATCAGACACAGTATAGTACGTCGTTCTAAAATTGCATGTTAATAGATGTGTGTGTGTGTGTGTGTAATGCATATGTTTATAATGTGTAATTTTAATGACTGTTCAGTACCACCAAGACTTTACAAATTATGGTGATTTGTCATTGAAATTGGTCAAGAGCATCCATGCATATAGTGCAGGTTGACCTTATGCCTGTATGAATGACTCCAATTTCAATTTATGGTAACCAGCATAGGGTGGTATTCACTACACAATTCAAAAACTGTCCTTCTCGGCTGGGTGCACACGATGACTCATGCCTGTGATCCCAGCACTTTGGGAGGCTGAGCTGGGCGGATCACCTGTGGTCAGGAGTTCGAGACCAGGCTGGCCAACATAGGGAAACCCCCGTCTCTACTAAAAATAGAAAAATTAGCTGGGCGTGGTGGTGGGCGCCTGTAATCCCAGCTACCTGGGAGGCTAAGACAGGAGAATCGTTTGAACCCAGGAGGCAGAGGTTGCAGTGAGCCGAGATCACACCACTGCACTCCAGCCTGGGTGACAGAGCCAGCCAGACTCCACCTCAAAAAACAAACAAACAAACAACAACAACAACAACAACAAAAATCCCAAAACTGCCTTCTCTACCAACATGAGCACATCAACTCAGTCCCTCAATACCACCTGCTGCTATGATCTTCAAATAGCTACACTTGAGACTCTTGTGAATCAGAGAAGTCTTTACCCTTTTGAATTTCAGGATCAAATCTGGGGGTGTTCAGTTCAACAACTCTTTTCCTGCACCATTTTCTCACAGTGGTTTGAGGGCAGAAGTGATGGGGCCCTGGCAATGGCGTGCAAGGATTCAATTCTAAATAAGGTGCTTTGTTGACATTGGTCTTAACTGAACATTCTCCCAAAGTGCCAGGCAACTAGAGGCGACTCATTAGACATCAATAGAGATTAAAGTTAACTAGTAGGTCTCTAGTTTTAGTGATTCGGGTCAGGAGGCTGAATACCAACGGAGTGCATCTGGCAGCCTGTTGAGAAAACAAATCAATTCTTTCCTCCTCATGCGCGTATCAACTATCCATGGATCCATGGCATTGCAGATGCAGAAGAATTCTTAGATGGGCACAGTAAACCTGGTCTGCAGAGGTCTGACTTATTTGAAATACCTCTCAAACCTTCTTGGACACGGCTCACCCTTCACCTTGAGTGCTACAAATGCTTATCTATCTGATTCTGGTTCAAAAGTTAGTAACATGTAGCAATTCGCAAGGTCAGTTCCAGGTAGAGATTACAACATGTGCTGTATGGTTTATAATCTTAGTTTCTAAATTACTCTGGTGGCTTCTGAGATGACAGCGACTATGCTAATTTGAGTCATTCATCCACAAAAAAAAAAAATACATATGTACACATATGCTATTGGGGACCCTTTAGGATTTTATATCCACAGTGTAGAAACGGTTATGCTGGAGACCTCCAAACTCCTCCCTGGGGAAAAAAATGCTTTGGCTACATTCTTATAAGCCAAAGTAAACAGCAAGATTTCATGCAGATACTGATATTTTCTCCTTCTTAAAAAAGATAAAATATTTCAGTTCAGATTAAGATTTATTGAGAAAAAAAATGACAGGAATTAAGGTCATACTTTCAAAAGCAAGTGAATTTTGGTGCTTTCACTTTGCCCTTGTCATGCTATGGAAGTGATCCCAGGTTTTCTTGTGTATTTTGACAAAACATGGGGACATTCCATGGGGTGATGGAGGAGAACTGGATGGAGCCCCAGGAGGCCTGAATTCCAGTCCTGAGATTCATTCACCGGCTGGGTAAACTTGGGTGGCCTCTCAATCTTTCTGGTTCTCAAATTCTGTGCATGACAAACGGGAGTCGAACTTTAGAATTTGCAAAATAAAATCTCTTCTAATTTAAAGATTCTGTAGCTTCCTATTTTCTCCACTACACATCAAAATTCGTTTTCATATTTTCCTTATTCACTGTTGTTTCAGTTCACTATAGTTGAAGAAACACTTTCTCCCGAAAGGACAATGGCAGAAAAGGGGTTAAGAAAGTCCATGGTGAATACATATGATAGTGTTTGGATCTGTGTCCCCACCAAATCTCTTGTCGAATTACAATCCCCAGTGTTGGAGGTAGGGTCTGGTGGGAGGTGATTGAATCATGGGGGTGGATTTCTCATAAATAGTTTAGCATCATCCCTTCCTTGCCTTGTCCTTGCAATAGTAAGTGAGTTCTCATGAGATCTGGTTGTTTAAAAACGTATACCATCCTGGTTAACACGGTGAAAGCCCGTCTCTACTAAAAATACAAAAAATTAGCCAGGTGTGGTGGCGGGCGCCTGTAGTCCCAGCTACTAGGGAGGCTGAGGCAGGAGAATGGTGTGAACCCAGGAGGCAGAGCTTGCAATGAGCTGAGATCCAGCCACTGCACTCCAGCCTGGGCGGCAGATCGAGACTCCGTCTCAAAAAACAAAAGACAAAAAACAAAAAAACGTGTAGCACCTCCCCTCCCTCTCTCTCTTGCTCCTACTCTGGCCACTGTGACATGTGCTTCCCCTTCACCTTCTGCCATGATTGTCAGTTTCCTGCGACCTCCCCAGAAGCTGAGCAGGTGTGAACATCATGCTTCCTGCACAGCCTGCAGAACTGTGAGCCAATCAAACTTCTTTTCTTTATAAATGACCCAGTCTCAGGTATTTCTTTACAGCAGTTTGAGAACACAGGAGATGAATATACAACACAGGAGATGAGCAGGAGTGAGGCCAGCAGCCCTGGGTGCCTAGGAGTGAGTGGCACTCACACAGGCATTTGGAGTTAGTGAACATGAGCTTTCCTCTTTACTTGTAAGAACAGGTGTAACTTGTATAGCTATAAGGAATGCCACCATTTAGTTGCCAAGGACAATAAGGATGGAGAATAATAACTGTCAAGAGACTCTCTTTGGAATTATTATTAAATGCACAGACTCTCAATCATGTAACATATATCAAGTGACCAAGTCTGCTCTCAGTAAATGGCACCCCTGCCACCCCCGGCCCCCTTGCACTGAGACCCATAGGAAACAGCAGCAGCTTCTTCCGGCATCTGGGCCTGAAGACCAAGGGAAGGATGGGAACAGAGATCAGTGGGGAGGCTTGGGTTTCCTAGAGAAATCTCTTTAGGCCATTGGAAATAAAGGTAGGGCTGGTGGCCTAAGGTTTCAGCATCTGGGAAGAGACATGTAGAAGGAAAAGAGGGGCTCTTAGGAGGAGAATTAGGGCAGTCCCACATGGCTCCAAGAGGGCAGGAAGAAGCAGGGCTGGCCTTGTTGACAGTCAGGCAAAGATGATCCTAGAGCAATGCAACCCAGGGACTCTGGAATGGCCTAAATGTCTCAGAACTGTGATCTCACACCGGAAACCTCAAGGCCATTCTGGTTGCATTAAACTATGATTAGTGTAATTCATGTGTTTTCAGGAAACTTGAAATTGCTGCATCCTGAAAGAAGTGCTATATTTTGAAAGGAACAATGATCCATGAATTCTACAATATCATTAAACAGCTTTTGAGGAAAAAACATTCATGACCTGCGCTTTTACGTGTGTGTGTGTGTGTGTGTGTGTGTGTGTGTGTGTAGGTTTTCATCAATGATTATATTAATGATTTTTATGCAGTTGATGCTAAGTTTTGAGCGGGACCTCAATCTTGCCCAGTGTGGTGACAGAGACCCTCTGTGGACGTTCTGAGGGCAGTGGCTTCCTGCCTGTTTGAGAAGCTGTGAGCAGGATAGAGTCACATGGGAGGGCCACAACTGGGGCCAATTGGTTAATGGCAGTGACATGGAAAAGAAGCTGAGAATCTTTGAGACCTTTGGATAAAAATTAAAAAGCAGTGGATGCCATATTGGATGTGGGAAGTCAAGAAGAGAAAGAACAAAAGAAGACTTCAAATCTGAAGAATGGGCTTGGAGAGTAGGATAGGAAGCTTTGGTACATCTGAGACTCACAGATGCGTAGGGAGCTGAGTTCCTTTGGAAGGAACACAAAGAATTCTTCATGAGTTAGTGACAGATTCTCTTTTCTCCTTCAACTGTCTTCAGATCTCTAAGAAAACTGAAAATAAAAGGCTATTCCTAGCCCTTTTTCTGACACGTTTGTCTTTGATAGTGCCACATACAGGTAAGCAAGCAGGTGTAGATGTGTGTGTGTACATATACAGACACATATAATATGACTTCTATAACAAGTCAAACAGTTTTCATCACTAAAAATATGTACATTCATCATCTGTTTATGTTGATGTCATATGTATACTATTATCTATACAAAAGGTGTTCTAAGTACTTATGTCCTTAAATTTCTGAAAGTTTTCTCCATCTATGCCTGTTTTTATGGTGTCAGAGCCAAATATCTTCGAAAGGTAAAGAAGTTGTCGCAACATTTCCTGGAGCCTCTAACAACTCCCCTTTAAATTTTTCTCAGTTATCACGAACCCAGAAGACCGAAGGCTTTTGAAATTGATGTGGTTAGATTTTTTTCTATCGAAACAAGCTTTCTCTTCTGTATTCCAAGACAATACATTCAAATCTTGATCCTCCGTCCCTGGATTGGTTTTCTAGACATTAATGCCAACTTAAAAATATAAGTAATAGGAAGGCTGAATTTCACACATGAAAGGAACTTATAGGCTGTTGCTAAAAACAGTGACAACCAGATAACTTTACATATTTGTTAATTTGTTTATTACTTTTAAATTATCTTTAAATTTATATTTAGAGACAGGCTCTTCTTGCTCTGTCACCCAGACTGGAGTGCTGTGGCATAATCAAGCCTCAACTGCAGCCTCCAATTCCTGTGCTCAGGCAATCCTCCCACCTCAACTTCCCAAGTAACTGGAACTGATTACAGGCACGTGCCACCATGGCTGGCTGACGCATTTTTAACGAAAGAAATGAAACTTCAAGAATAGATCAAACCTATTTTTAAAGAAGATAGATAAGAATAAATGCTTTTTAAAAAGCTTACGGAGTGTATACCTTATAACTGAGGTCCCCAACCCTCGGACCGCAGACTGGTACCAGTTTGTGGCTTGTTAGGGACTGGGCCACACAGCAGGAGGCAAGTGGCAGGCCAGCAAAGTTTTGCCTGTATTTACAGCCACTCCCCATCGCTGGAACTACTGCCTGAACTCCTCCTCCTGTCAGATCAGTGATCAGTTGCAGCATTAGATTCTCATAGGACCGCAAACCCTTTTGTGAACTGTGTGTGCAAGAAATCCAGGTTGCGCTCTCCTTATAGGAGAATCTAATGCCTGAGGATCTGTCACTGTCTCCCATCACCTGTAGATGGGACCGTCTAGTTGCAGAAAAACAAGCTCAGGGTTCCCACTGATTCCACATTACAGTGAGTTGTATAATTATTTCATTATATATTACAAAGTAATGATAATGGGAATAAAGTGCACAATCAATGTAATGTGCTTGAATCATCCTGAAACTATCCCCCAACCCTGTCAGTGGAAAAATTTTCTTCCATGAAGCTGGTCCCTGGTGCCAAAAAGGTTGGAGACTGCTGCCTTGTAACACTGGCCAGCACTTCAGACTGGTGAAATTTTGATTGCTGAAATACATTTTTTTTTTTTCAATTTTAAGCACACTTCCTCCATACAATGGGTAATTTAACCTTATTTAAAGTACTTCCCAACATTTTTATAATGAGGATATATCTTTTAAAAAAGGATAAAAGCATTACTCCTGTCTTTCTTTTCACTTTGTCTTTTGTGAAATCAAACAAGGTTAAATAAATTTTGGGTTTTTTTTAAGACAGAGTCTTACTCTGTCGCCCAGGCTGGAGTGCAACGGCCTGCTCTCAGCTCACTGCAACCTCCACCTCCCAGGTTCAAGTGATTCTCCTGCCTCAGCCTCCCAAGTAGCTGGGATTACTGGCATACGCCATCATGCCCTGCTAATTTTTGTATTTTTAGTAGAGACTGGGTTTCGCCATATTGACCGGGCTGGTCTTGAACTCCTGAGCTCAAGTGATCCACCCATCTCAGCCTTCCAAAGTGCTGGGATTACAGGCGTGAGCCACCGCACTCGGCCTAAATGAACTTTTAGTCATCCTTATTCTACTGTAAGCTATTCACTCACCTCTCTTGAAAATTTCATAACGTATGGAAAATCCTGCACCATGTGTTTCGTAGTCAGAGACAAATTTGATAAAAAGAAATTGCCCTGAAGACACAACAGGAGGAGGGGCTATCTTTCCACAGAACTTTCCCCATAAACGTCCATTTTCATTTTCTCCATCGAAGACTTCCACGTAGTCATACCTAACACACAAACATGGAAGAAAACATTAGGTTGGTGAGAAATGCCCTTTTAATTTCAATAACTTAGACACCAGCATCATCTAGCATAGTGTGCCAGGAAAAAAAAGTTCTATCTGCATTCATCACTGCATTAAATGGAGGGAAAAAGAAATCTAGCAAAACGAAGTAATTAAAATGGACTACATCATGTCTGTATACATCTGGCAACACAGAACTATTAAGAATAATGGTGTCCATTATACTTGCAGACAATGTCAGTTAAAGTAACCAATTAAAAAGAAAAAGAAAAATCTCATGAGCACAATCCTCTATTATTAAATTGTGTTCCTTTGTCTATGGTGGTGGGGTGTCAATACATAATGCTATGCATTCTTTTCAAACTGTGAAGTTCTTTTATGAATTCAAAATGTCTCCTGGCTGGAGCTTTCTATGAACAATACTTTGATTTCTGTGAGCGACCCTCTAAACATATGGCCACAGAATAATAAACAGATTCTTTACTATTTAACTGCATTCCACCAAACTCCAGACTTCTTTGAAAATAGTCTCTCAGTAGCCACATCCAATGGTTAAAACACAGATTATCTTCCCCCAAATGACACTTGGATCCTAGAGCGTAATTTCTCCCAAGAAAAAGTTTAGTTAAGAATGGAAAATAACTTTGTTTATACCCGCTAGTCTGAATCTTTAAAGTAATATCATTGTTTGAGTCTTTAAAGAAATCTTGTTGTTTGAGAAAGAAACGCTTGATACCACAAAAGTGATGAGATTTAAAATTCAGGCTTAATAATGACACTAAGGATGCAAATCGTAAGGAAAGTGACCATAAATATTACTCAAAAGTTAACACGGAAATAAGATATACTTGGATCTTATTTATCTTTAAAATGTACAAAGCCATCACCAATACACTCGTGTCCCCTAGGAAAATAAGAAGGCTTTTGTTTATTTGGTGTTATGTATTTCATAGTAGCTTGCTCTTTCTTCTCTTTTTATTTACCAAGTCACCTAGGAGCAAGAGAATCTGATTCATCTTCCATTTTTCTTCAAAAATGACATGAAAACATTACAAGGCATTCATTTCCAACCTTTATTTTATTTCTGTGCTTAACTTGGTTCAAAAGTCCTGGGATATATTAATTTCAGGAATGGCTAAAATATGGCAGTAACATAAACTGTATCTGGCAATTTAAAAGAGATCAAAGTGGGGGAAATCTTCATGATGCCCAATGTCATCTTTAACAATCTCTTCTCAAACTGCCGGGGATGCATGACTTATGTTTACATAAAGTCTCAGGAGACAACTGCAACCATGATATCACTAGTTAAAGTGGTCAGCTTAAGGCTCTCTAAATTAAAAATGACATTACCTCATCAGTTAAAACTGTGTGCCAGCTTTGTGTATATCAAGAAGAAAATAAAGCTGACATTGATGGAACTAAGCATTAACATATGTGAATTATTGTATTAACTGCATTTCCTCTGCTACATATGATGCTTCCAGGAGTAGATACTTGGCCTGCTAACACTACCGTCCGTTTGCAAAATTATGGAAATACACAGAGGTATTGTTCATTTCTCCATACTTTGGGAAATGCTTTGCATGTTAAAAGAAGACAAAGGAGAAGGAGGAGGAGGAGAAAAAGGAGGAGGAGGGGAGGGAAGGAGGAAAAGGAGGAGGAGGAAGAAGAAAGCATTATGTTTAAAATCTTAACTAGCCTTTATAATCAATGGGATGTAGCTGGAAAGGACACCATCTCTGTACTCATTAAAGCCCCACAAGCTGGCATTTATGGAGTAATTCCTTTTATCTCTACTGCTTCATTGACAAGGCAGGTTTGCATGTTTCACCCCATGCCTTCTTATAATTTAACTGTGATTTGAACTGTTGACTGTGTTTGGCCTGGCGACGGTGCATCCAGCTCTGCAATATAGGCTTTTTACTTGAATCCTGACATGGTCTGAATACTAAGTGGCCAAATTCTAGCTCATGTTGCCTTCCAAGCACAAATAAGAGAGGTGGGTGAGGCATTCTGAAAAACTAAGGGCATTTCCGTTGAGGATACGTTCCTCTCAGGTAGCAGAGAACTCAGCTAATATAGTGCCGATGGATTGCAACAGGGAAAGGAGCTAGTATTTTAATTCACATATCCTCCAATAGTAAATACTAGGCGCTCCTCTTGGCAAAAGTAAAAGCTATTTTTAAAAGTATGTGTGGGGTGGTGAGTGGGGGGTGGAGGCGGGATTAGAATCTCTTCCCAGCAAGAAATAAGTCATTGCACAGTTAAGTGCCAATTTTAGGAAATTGAATTATTCAGGAATACTATAGTTACATTTGTAAACTGGAAGGCTGCTATCGTTTTAGCACTTCTCTTCAAAGTACTATCCAACAGGGCCCCAAAGAGTATCACAAATAGCAGCTCTTGTAAATATTCAGGAGGGTGTACTGCGCACAAGTTGCAGAGGGGAGTATTGCCAAAGAAGTTAAGGAAGCAGCTTGTGTCTCCCTCTGGAGTTGATACCAGCTCCGCTCGCTAAGTTTCGCACTGGCAAGCGTGCTGCCAGGAATGCAACTGGTGTGCCAGCATCCCTCCCTAGAGACTAAACGTGTCACCACTGCAACGCACCCAGACTGCATTGGCCTGAGGCCCAGGATCCTGAGTTTGCAAATTTTGATCCCGAAGCCGGCTGCACATTGCTCTGTTACTGTTGCCAGTGTGGCAAACATGGCATTGCTCGGGATGTCAGGATCCCCAGTCACGACAGCACAGCAGCCCGGCAAAGGTGAGAATGAAGGCACCTGTTTGGCTCTCATTCACTCCCTGTGTGCCAGACGCTGGATGAGAGCTGGGAATTAGGTCCGAGGAATTCAATTCATAAAAACTAGAGGAGGGGTCAGAGAGTTGACCCCTCTGTCTGTCTGGGTCCCTGCTCTGGAAAAAGAAAACTCCAGTTCACAAGGAGGCTATGAATGGGTCCAAAGGGCACCACCGTTCTATGCAAGGTGTTTTTCTCTCTGCTCACATACAGACAGGGCTCCCATCTGGGGAAGGTCCCTCCCCAGACCTCACCCTACCCGCTTACCACTCCCAGAATGTAAACATGATGTGGATGTTTTAAATATTCAGAAGATAACCAACCCCTCCCTCCTCATTTAGGCATCTTCCCATTATTTTTCTTAAATTTTCTACCTTAAACCTTTTCCATTCTATAGTAACAGTGGTGAAGTGGGTGAACATTTACTGCCAACTAACTCCAAGATAGATCTCTGCCTAAACCCTTTTGTAATTAAAAGGTATTTTGCCACAGTTTCAATTTTGGGGTTTAATCCACCAGGTCGTTGTTTTCATGAGTGTCCCTGGCTTTAGAATCCACGCTCCTCAAGCTAAAAGCCTACTGGCTCCGTATCTCCCCCAGGCTCAATTTATCTACGTAGATGCGGGTGGTGAAACATTTTGAATCCTAACAGTAATCACAGGTTAGGTTTCCCAGAAGAGTGCTCAAAGAATAAAGATTTCTTTCTAAGAATTCTTAAAAGGATTACCTAGAGATTATTTTTTTTCTTTGGGAAAGTTTGAATTATGGCTTTAGGAAAATGGCCAAGTAAGGGGAAAAGTGATGGGAAAGTGAGAAATGTATTCAGTCACTGAAGAGCGATTTCGGAGGCTTTATAGGTATGCGGTGCTGAACAGATGAATAGTGACTTTGCCTAAGTCAGGTTTTCTCTTGTAAGCACAAATGACCCCGGACTCTCTACGGTGGAGATGGTTAATGGAAAGGAAGCTAATCCTCCACAGGGTGTTGTCTGACACTGTGAGCTACTGTACCAACTCCCCAGGCTTCTGGACATTCTCACATTATTAGGAAGGGGGATTTGAGGTGGTGCTGTCTTTTTAATCTCCTTCCAAGAGGATCTCCCCCCACTGGCATACATACATTAATAACAGAGAAATATGATGCCTGACATCATAAGCTGGAGTGAGAAATGATGTCGGCGAACACAATTTTCACCTGCAAAAATGTGTTTCTGTGGGTCTTTGGTTTATTTTGCACGAGGCATTAATAGCTATTAAAACTGAACAACCTGTAAACGATCGCTGTGCTGCCGTCCAAGAATTAACTTACGTATCCCCCAAAAGAGAACAGATTTTTCTTCCATAGTATTAGAAAGAGGATTTGGAAATAAAAATATACAGTGGTGGAGCTAGGAGGAACCAATTAGTCTGCATCTGTGTTTCTGAGTGGTTTTACACGAGAGTCATCCCCTAATGGTTCTGGCTTGCTTGCAATGTTCTAATCACAATGTATGAAAAGTCTTAAAAGAGTCATAGCCTGTTATTTAACAAAAGCATTTTTTAGAAATCTGTTCTAAGGAAACAACCCAGAATAATGTCAAATACCATGGAATATTATTCAGTCACTAAAAAGCGTGTTCAGCTCATGCCTGTAATCCCAGCAGTTTGGGAGGCCAAGGTCGGTGGATCATGAGGTCAGGAGATCGAGACTATCCTGGCGAACACGATGAAACCCCGTCTCTACTAAAAATACAAAAAATTAGCCAGGCATGGTGGCGGGCGCCTGTAGTCCCAGCTACTCAGGAGGCTGAGGCAGGAGAATCACTTGAACCTGGGAGGCAGAGGCTGCAGTGAGCCGGTGCCACTGCACTCTAGCCTAGGCAACAGAGTGAGACTTCATCTCAAACAAACAAACAAACAAACAAACATGTTCAGGCCAGGCACAGTGGCTCACACCTGTAATTCCAGTGCTTTGGGAGGCCGAGGCAAAAGGATTGCTTGAGGCCAGGAGTTTGAGACCAGCCTGGGTAACAAAGCAAGAACCCCCAACCCCTTCTCTACAATTTTTTTTTTTTTTAATTGGCAGGATATGGTGGCTCATGCCTGTAGTCCCGCCTGCTTGGGAGGCTGAGGTGGGAGGATCACTTGAGCCTAGGAGTCTGAGATTGCAATGAGCTGTGATTGTGTCACTGCACTCCAGCCTGG